TTTGCTGAGTGTGTTATTGTGCTGATATCTTAAGGACTACCGTGGACAGCTGACTCCTAAAGTTTTTGATATTCTTCATATTCTGTGTCAGTTCACAGCAGTGATAGAAATTAATATTTTCCAATACGTCTAAATTGATTTTTAACTTTTATGGGCATTCTTACCTTTATAAAGCCATTTTTTTCTAAAAGTGTACATCATCTTTCGAGTCAAATTCTTACATTTAATCAGTCAATTATAATAATAATACATTTAGGCTGTTACTAAACAAATGAAATCAGTATCAACAAAATTAATCTTTGCAGAAGTTCCATACGAAGTGGCATTTGGATGTATTTACACGTGTTAATGCAGCTTAGAGGGACATGCTTTAATCTGCAGTTACAAATGCATAAATAATGTTTTGATATTTTAAACATGAAATTTTGAATACTGATATTTGAAATAATTTAAAAAATGAAAAGATACATTAGATGTAAAATTAAAACAATTAAAACCGCCAGTAGGCGGCAGTAAGTCACTGTTAATAAGTGAGTCATTGCGTTTGAACCGAATCATTTAAACGGTTGATTCATTCAAGAACGAAACACCGTCATTGTTGCTCAGAGACGCAAAACAGTGCTGTTAAGCTAATCATTGCAATTGAACCGAATCATTTACACGGTTGATTCATTCAGGAACAAAACAACTTCACGCAAAACAGTACTGTGGCTGTGTTTGGAATGTTTTTTTGTTGGCGAAATAGCACAGAAATAGCGCAAAAACAGCCAATGTGGTGTCTAAAACGTAAGTCTCTTGAAATTAACTTATTGTTTATTAAACTGTTGTATAAAATAAATATCACATTTGTAACCATGTTGATTTTTTAAGAAAAAACGGCACTCTTTGTGTGATATTGATTAACTATATGAATTGATATAAATGTATAAATTTTCTGCCTCCTTATCTTGAATTATGTGATCATTCTTAATGCATATTAATAGACTGAATCATGCAGTGTAAATGATAAAAAGAAGGCTTTAAAAAGATCGGTATCGGCAGATACTGCTTTCTGTGATCGGCAAACGGTGATCAGCCTTAAAAACCCTGATCGGAGCACCCCTAGTTTTTAGAGGCAGTTTGCATCGTCGCTACGTTGAAGATGCACGAAGTAGTAGTAGTTGTTGTCGTGTGGTTTATTAGAAGCAGAGGTCGTTCGTAGAAGTAAGAAGAGTAAGAAACGCTTGAATGGCTACTCTCTGCTGTCTCAGATGACGATATCTTTGTCCTGTGTCGGCAACCGTAGCTTCTCAGGGGGAGGGCTAATCCATTTATTGCAACTGACAGATACATCACTGCTAGATGCCGCTAAAATCTACACACTGCACCTTTAACTGGAACCAGGAACACTTCACACCTGATGTACTTTTGTTACATTAGGGCCTTTCGCACCCGCGGGAACCTTTTCATAGTACCAGAACTAATTGTGGAACTGCACTGCCAGTTGTCGTTGGAGATTCTTAGTCCTCCTTTCCGTTCTTTCAATCGCTTTATGTATACGTCGACTTTCCATGTCCATTATTGTGAAACCCGCGAGACACAACAAAAACACAGCTCCGATCACAGCGTCTTCCATCCTCCTGTTGTTAATGTTGTTCTTTGTTTCTGTTGTTGGAACGCCGCGCACAAATGACGATGCTGTCGACCGGCTTACGTCACTTCTTAGTACACACTCTCGGTGCGAATGCAACCCTTTAAATGGTACTGGGAAATAGTTCACGCAAAATCATCCCAGTACTTTAGTACTGTACATTTAGTTCTGGAACTAAAGCGTTGCGAAAGGCCCTATTGAAAGAGGAATGGTATCTACGCTTATACAATGATTAGCCACAACATTAAAAACACTGACAGATAAAGTCAATAACATTGATTATATTGTTACAATGGCACCTGTCAAGGGGTAGAATTAGGCAGCACGTGAACAGTCAGTTCTTAAATTTCATGTTTTAGAAGCAGAAAAAAATGGGCATGCGAAAAGAATCAGATTCAGGGTCATGGGCACCCAAGTCTCGATGCATGTGGACTGGGGAGTGAGGGCTAGCCTGTCTGGTCACACAAAAGAGCTACTGTAGCTCAAACTGCTGAAAAACCTAATGTTGCCCATGATAGAAAGGTGTCATAGTGTACATAGAACACTTTTGAGTTCATAATTGATTAACTTTGCAACATTGACACAGTTATTGAATTGAACTGAATCAACAATTGAGTTGAAAATTCTAGAGCCGCTTTAAATAATTAATTTCATATATGAAATTTTCTACATCAGCTCTGTCATTGAACTAAATAGAATTAACACTGAACTTGTTTACTTTAGCTGAATCATGATACTATCTTAAGTTGAGCTGCTTTATAACTGAATTCAATATGTTTTATAATTAATGGACTGCAACACTGAACATGTTATTGAACATGATCCTAAATTAAGCTGAATAATGACAACTGTCTGTACAGCTGAAAGTTAAATAATTTCATAATTAAATTTTGTGACACTGTTTGTTTCGGTGAAGCTGATTTGAAACAATCTGTATTGTATAAAGGCCAATACAAAGAACTGTGACTTGACTTGAAATGTGTCATGATTAGTGACATGACATTACAGAACGCTGATGTCAGGGTACTCAGCGCTCTTGCTAGTGTGATATTACTCGAGTATATCATGCTACGGTAAAGGCAATTTTCAGGATTATCTATCATATTTGTTCACGTCTGTTTCTACGTTCAGGTTTACAAAAAGGCCCTACCTTTTGTTTGAAGCGCCGCTCATCTGTCGTGATAAACTCACAGCCTTTATGCATGTCCTGCAGACAGGTACTGCAAATGCAACTCTGGTGCTGACTGCAGTAGAACTCCATCAGTTTGCCATGATCCGAACAGAGACGGTCCATCAGATCTGGCAGCGGATCACACAGTTGATGGGCCCGAAAAATGGCATTCTCTCGGTGAGGCCTGACATGATCTTCACAATAAGACGCCATACATGTCAAACAAGTTTTGACCGCTTTGGCTTCCATGCAGTTGTCACACTTGATCGCATCTGGATCTTTCTTTTTCACCTCAAAATGTTCCTTGACGGGCTCAGAAACACCCGCTTTTATTCTATAGGCATCAAGCACCGCGCTGAGGACGGTGTTCTTCTTTAGTTCAGGTTTACTGGTGAACACCATTCGGCACTGAGGGCAGGACAGAGATGATACCCTGTCGTTCCATGTCGCTTCGAGACAGTTGGCGCAGAAACTGTGTCCACAGATTAAACTCACCGGGTTTTCGAATAGACATAAACAGATACTGCAAGTCAACTCGTCCTCTAGAGCCAGTAGAGACATATTTTCCGCCATTTTGACACGTCCAAGGTAACAGCGACAACTGAACGCACTCTCAACCACACCCTTAGTGAAAACGAAACTAAACTAGGCGGAGAAACGAAACTTAAACGGTCCACAAGTCACAGAGTCATGAATAAACCAACGAACTAAGTAAAGATTTGTCAATAGACAAAATAATATTACAAAAATTAACTGCGATTATTATTCAAATTTTTGAATTTGCTGATATCCACATGTAGAAATTGTTGCTAAATAGTACCTTAATGCTACATTCAATGTTCTAATACAATTTATATAAAATTAATTGTAATAATAATGATAATAAAGCTGAAAATAACATAAAACAAACATAAAATAACAAAACAACTGCGCATATGATTTTTTTCGCGTAAAGGTACAAACAGTTTCTTCAAATGAGCACAAGAGGAAGCTGTTTGCTTATAAAATCGTTGTTTGAACATTTGTTTAGTTAAAAGCAAGACTGAAAATCTGAATAGAATTTGGACGTTTTTGAAGAACTTTTTGAAGAATCATTTTAGCTTCATTATTTTATTTATCAATAGCCTACGTCAAGGTGTTTTTGCCACTCAATTTCCCTTCAGCAAATTGCATTCATGGAAAAAGACCACTTCTTGAATCTGGGATCTCATACTGAGCAGAAGACTTTTGTGGGTTGTGGTGAATTATACTTTAATCTGAAGTTTATCCAAATTAAACAGATAAACAATTCAGTTTTTTTTTTAAATACTGTGATTTAGTTTGTTGTTGTTGTTATTTTTAGTGCTTTTCACAATACAAATTGTTACAAATAAGCTTAACAGAAACAATAAGTGGTGATGTCCATATGGACCAAAAAAATCATGCAGTTGGTTAATGACATGTATTCAAACAAACGGTGAACACTATTAACATCAGTGGTTTTATGTTATGATCAAACTTTTAGTAAAATTTGGTCGTTTTGTATGTTGGTTCAGGGTTGTCCTGAACCCTCTGAGGTCCTTGGAGGGGTTGGCATCATCTCTTCTCAAGTGTTGGTCATCTCAGATCTTCGGCTGGATCCAGACTGAAGCTTGTGTAATTCCTAGTTACTTTGGGATTCCCATCCCGTAGCAGAAACAGAGAAGCAAATAGAGAAAAATTTGCATAGCTGCTGTTCAAACCATGCAAAAAATGATAATGTGCTTAAACCAAGCAAAGAATGATAATGTGCATTTAATCATATATAACTGGAGTACAAGGTTATGAGAGACATTATGTACAGTGCCTTGCAAAATTATTCATTTTTTCATGTTCTGTTATGTTGCTGCCTTATGTTAAACTACTTTAAATTTCTTTTTTTCCCCCACATCAGTCTACACTCCACACACCATAATGGCAAAGCAAAAACAGAATTGTCAAAACTTAGTAAATGTATTAAGTACATTGCATAAGTATTAATACTCAGTACATACACTGTAAAAAATGTTCACCCCTTTCAACTTAAAAACGTAAGTTTTGTGGCTGCCTTAAAATTTTAAGTTAAATCAACTTAAAAGTACAAGTCATTTCAACTCACTAATTTAAATCTTGCCTAGTGCTGAATTGTTTTATTGAAGTTCATTTGACTTTACAATATTTGCTGTTTCAACTTAAGCTCAAAATTGTTAACATTAATTTGCTAGTTATGATAATGTAAACTTTATTTTAGATCCAGATAAAAAAAATATACTACAACATTTGTTTGAAACATTTAAAATTTATTTGTTTCTTGCAGTGCTTATAAACAGGGTTTTAATATTAAGAACAGTACACAACCTGCCTGTGCATGCTAATGTGTGAATGCCAGTATATGTATACAACAAGGGCACAAAAGTAGCAAAAAACTGCCAAGAAACTGTCATACAAAGCTGAAAATACACTCACACCTCATGGGAAACAACCACTGAGAAAAGCTTGAAAAAAACACACATACATGTCCATTACAGTCCT